CGCCACCAGCTCCACGCAGTCGCCGCCGCGCTGTGACGCGCATCCGCCGCCGCGCCGCCCTGCGCCAGCGCCGCGCACCTCGCCTGACCCATGTGTCTCGCGCCACAGGGCCCCAAGGGAGGTGGGAGGGGAACCCCGCCGCCACCGACGCCAGCCGGGCTTCGCCCGGTGGCGCCCTTCGGCGGCGGCGGGGAGGGGGAGAGGCGGGGAGGGGGAGCTCGGGCGACGGCTAGGTTTTCGCCCTGCCGCCCGCGAGAGCGGCTCGGGCGAGAGGGCGACTACTACCTTCTGTGGCGCCCGGTGGTCTACCTCTAGTGTAGTGTCAAAAAACGTCTTACATTATGGGACGGAGGGAGTAGTATGGGAGCATGTAACCAGTTCCTTCAGTTAAAAGATACACTGACTTTGTTGGCATTTAACAAATCAAAGAAGATATACACCAGGTCCTCCAGGTTAATTTTCTGCGGTCATAAATATCAAGCTGTTCCATTCGAAAAGCAAATCTTTTTCTGAAAGGATGGCATGTCGTGAACAACAACCTTTTGTATCTACAACAAAATTTTGCTGCCTGCAATCACTTTGCAACAGCTGGATTTATTTTCTCTCATTTTCCTTGCGGTGGATCTATTTTTTTTGTCAATGCGCAGCAGCAGCGACTACCGATTCGGCGATGACTGTCGTTTCCTCCATCACTTTACAAGCAGCCACAATGGACATGATCAGGCTATTACGAAAAAAGATGAACAGCTGGGTCAAGGCGGTGATGGGAAGCTCAGGAAGCCAATGAGTCATGCGAGCAGCTTCAAGACCAGACTATGCCTAAGCTTTGTCGCCAGCGGATGCCAGTTGGTCTATGGCAAAGTTGAGCTGCGCAGGCCAGACGCATCTTCAGAAGTCCAAGATCAAGTGGTTCTCATGCTGTTTGTAATGATCGTGGCCTATGGCAAAGTTGAGCTGAGCTGGCAAAGTTGTGTCTTCTGTTTTGCAGAAATGCCTAAATATAAACTTGTCTATTCTTGTCGTAGTCCATTTTTTCGGTTCAATGAAGGCATGATAGGCAAGGCAACAAAAATGGATTGAACAGGAACTCACCGTATCTCTTATTCTCTTCCTCGAATTTTAACTGAACAGTACAATTTTTCATGTATCTGGACAGCACCTCTTCCACTCCTATTTTACATGTAATACATGCATTATCAGCTTCGGTTGTTACCTTCTCTTGGATAATGAGCAGGGTAAGTGTCAGTTGGAGAGAGATAGTGCTGACAGACATCAAGGTCCTCAAGTTCTGGGCTGAGGATGTATACAAGGTTTTTGGGATCCCTTGCAGTCATCGCAAAATCAAAGGCACGGATGCCAACATAAACCCTGAAGCAATTTAGTTCTTATAGGTATCACTTGAAATGAATAAGATAGGGGTTCACAGCTTGCGTGCAGCAGAAGAGTTCCTTTTGCGTGACATCAACAAGAATTCCAGCAAGCTTGAAAAAGATTGTTTCCAGATAGCCTTTGTTATATTTGTCATGGGCCATGTCCTTGCTCTATTATGTACCAGCTGTTGTGGGTCGTGCGCAGCAGCCTTATAAATGCAGGACACTCATAGTGGCATGACCTACTATTCTCTGCCTCTCGTTTCCCCTGTATAATTTGATAAAAACACAAATGCCATCATTTAAACACACTTGCAGCACCGAAACCCATGGCTGCCACTTATTTTCCAAAACGATAATTACATGAATCAGTTTTTACCGAGCAGCCGCAGACAATTTCTTGCATTGACTTTGTCCTTTCGGCGTTTAGCCGGCTCTTATAGAAGTCGCCTCTCACAATGAACTGAAACTTAGGCCTAGTGTGGGATGTACTAAACTTTTCATAGGTTCCACATACTTCCGAATAGATTGTTCCAATGCACTCATCCGTGATGGGCATGGAGTCCTGTCTGGTGGTGCACTACCGAGTCGTAACCTAAATTTACAAACCGGCCTTCAATAGTAAAATACTTCCAGCTGAATTTGCATAAAAGTAGTTACAGCAGCTATACTGTTACGATCGCCTACCATGGTTTACATTTCTACTGCTGCATAGATCAGTTCCTGCATTTTTCATTCGTGCTACTGTGACCTCAGATATTCTTTTTTTTTGTTTGGCTACATGAACGTGGGGCAAACACTCTGAACAAATGCAATTCTACAATGACAGTGTTTGGGGTTCAGACCTTTTCGTCCAGCGGGGGCTTGCCGGTTGATTCTGTCAGTTGACTGCGCCGACTAAGTAGGAGAAGCATCCGGACGACGGCACACCACCCCGTGTGCTCTCTCCGGGACAGCGCTGCCGATCTGCTGCCCGCAACCAGACCCATTGTTTGAGTCCCCCGGGACTCCACCGTTGGCCAAGCTCTCCAGCAGAAAGGCCAGAGGCACCGGATCTGTGTGATCCAAGCTATCGACGAACTCCTCCCGGAGCGGGAACCTGATTTCAAGTGGCAACCAGCGCCGGTCATGGCCAGCGTTAGCTTATTTCTCCCGGCGTGCCCACTGACACTGCTTACCCCAAGAAACATATTAGATCCCCCGGGAACTAACCTGTCCACGGCATCAAGCAAGGACTCAAGCACACAATCTTCCATCTTCTAGTTTCTGGTAAGATGAAGCGCCGCCGCCTGTCCTCCTGTAATCCATGAAGGCGGAACAGAGGTGATTTCTGCGGGTACGTAGAGGGGGGGAGACGACTCCAAACGTCGCCGTTTTATCCAAACGGGCTCCACACTTTTCTGATCCGTGGCTCGGTGCAAACCAAACGTCCTGGTCCACGGACCACATAACTGGCAAGCGAAACGGGCCTTTCCCCGCGTACGATCTGGGCCCACAAAAGCTCCACTGTTTCCTGCTGTATATCGAATACAACCTTTTTTCCCCGTTCCGCAGCAGATGCGCCAGCAGGATTTGTTCGCATCCCGAGTAACGAGCGGACGACGAAGATTTCGGGAGCATCTGGGCTCGAGCACCGAATCGCCGCTTCCATCTGCACTATTCCTATAGAGAAAACATCACTGATCATTTCCCGGCAGCGCTCTTCCTTGTGCACGTTCTGATGGCCCCCGAACGCCTGCGAGTTGTAGAAGCTGCGGCTGCAGTACACGCAGAGGAACAAGCCAGGGGGCTACCGCACCCATGACGGCGTGTAGTGGAGGGTGAGCTCGCACTGCTCCTCGCTCACCTCCATTATTGCGCCTAGCATAGTTTGTCGATCTATGTGAGTAGTGTGCTACGAGTGGAGCAACAAGTAAATGAATACATCTAGCACCTATAAATCCGAGCACTCCGCATGATTGATCCTACAAGTGGATCTGGTGCACCCAAACATTACTGGCGTATTTTGGTGTCTATTGAAAGGTACTACTTATCCAAAAGCGGAAGGGTTAAATAAATTGATAGATGAGTAGTGATTTGTCCGTATAAATCTAAAACGAGTAATTAGGGACGGAGGTTGTACTACCCTTTTCTAGCACAGGTAAACTCTTCACAACATCAAACACATGTAAGGGCATCCACCAGCGCAACCGGATGTCCATTTTTCCGCAAACCAGAGACAAAGAAAGGGGACATTTGCGGGAGTTCGGACATCGCCAATCCAAAGCCACCACGTATCCTTCTTATGTCCAGAGAAAGCCACTGCTATTTTTTTTGCTCTTTGGCAGAAGGTTGCTAGCATTAGGCATAATCACTACTGTTTTCACTTGTTTTCTTCAAGTGCTACACTCTTTTTTCTGTTTAAAGTGCTCACAATGCCGGAAGGCACTAAAATTTCAAGTCAAAATGCGGAAGGCCATTAGCTAATGATGGAAGGCACTATTCAAGTCGCGGAAGGCACTAAATTGTTTCAGTTTTTTCAATTCAAGTGATATACTTTTTCTTTTCTTTTTTCAAGTGCTCACACTAGTCTAAGTGATAAATTTTTTGTTCACATTTGTGTGCTGGCACGGTTGGATGGCCAGTTTCCGTATCAGTGTCCAAACCGATTTTCGGACAAACACCGTGTCGGTTTGCAGGTCGGTGTTGGACGCGCCTTAAGCCTACTTTAATATTTTTCATCCCATGCAAATCACACACATGATTGAATAGATGGCTCCTAGCCAAATGGCGTCTCTCGGCCAACCCAATAAGTTTGAATCGCGTGCGCACTATGTGTTCCATGCTTTCTTCTTATTTAATATACCACGGGGCTCCTTCACCTCTGGTTTTTTAATCTATAAAGCGAACTTGTTGTTTTATCCCAAAATCTTAATGAATCAACACGCAAAGCTCTTGCATGTTCCAGAAAATTATGGAACAGAGGGAGTATTTTTCTAGTACATAGAAGATCTTCACATCATCAAGTACATGCAAGATCTCCATATCCTATTTTTCAACTCATGCAAACCTTCCATATATTTGAACACGTGCATGCCCCCCGTATCACTATTTTTCTTTATTTTCCAGCAATAGATCATTCCACCTAAACCAGAAGGCCAGAGCCACATAACGTGCAACCAGCCTCCATTTACTATTAGGTCTGCTTTTGTATTC